ACATAATCTTTACTCCCTGGAATGGAGATAAGAAACGCCCTAACCTTTGGAATAGAAATTGATAGGATTAAAATCAACTGGTATAAATACAGATGTAACAAGACAACAGAACACAGAACCTAGCGAGAGAACATGGCAAAAGATCCTGGACAGAACCTGACTACAGAACTTGGCTGGAGAACCTGGCTAGAACCTAGACAGAACCTGGCTGGAGATCGTAGACAGAACTTGGCTGGAGATCCTGGACAGAACCTAGAGACAGAACCTAGCGAGAGAACATGGCAAAAGATCCTGGACAGAACCTGTCTACAGAACTTGGCTGGAGAACCTGGCGACCAAACCTGCCTGGAGAATCTGGAGAACCTAGAGACAGAACTTCGCTGGAGATCCTAACCAGAACTTGGCTGGAGATCCTGACCAGAACTTGGCTGGAGATCCTGGCTAGAGATCCTGGCTAGGCTGCTGATCAACTGAAGGCTGTCTCCGTGTCATTCCTTCTTCGCCGACTCCGTCCACACCTTTGGGGATCCCTGGACCTGCTGGGGCTGGACCCCAACACCTCTCCCTTCCTCTCTGACATCAGTCATGCACACACACACACACACACACATATACACATTTTCAAACGCTCCTCCTCCACCGCCAGCCCCTCTGGGGAAAGCCCTCCAAACAGCAGAGCAAGAGGGATAATAACAGCAGCGAGCAAGGCCTACGACCGCCCAGCGAGCGGACCACACACGGAAATGACCCCCCGGCGGCTCCCTGGCCAGGGCTTTCTTCCGGCATCACTGACGGTGACAACGGCCAGAGTCACCGAAGCCCAGGGCCCAGCTCCCCCCAGGCTCTTCTCGGGTCGGACCCTCCTGGCTCAGCCCCAGGGGCCCGAGGAGCCGGATCCGGGCGCAGCTGACCTGCCCTCATCACCCCCTGTCGGTGGTGACGGCCCCTCCGCAGGGACCCTGCCCCGGGCCTGACATTAAGTTCCCGTCAGCAGCCTCCGTCCACACCCACAGGCCGTCCCCCCGCAGGGCTCACTCCTGCGCCAGGTCCCCCCGCGGCCAGGGACGCCCACTCTGACCAGCGCCACAGCCAGGTCCCGGGAGTATCTCACTTACGATGGGCCTCTCTGCACCCCGGTGACCCCCAAACACCCAAGGCCAGGGAGTGTCCTGGGGGCTCCGACTGATGACAGGCCAACCTGTGGGAGCCCTGTGCATGCTGGGCCTTCGGCCGGCCCAGGGCTGTGTGTCCACCCAGCACGCGGGCGAGAGCCCTCCGTCCACTGGCTGGTGTGAGCTCTGGCCCCCGACAGCCTGCGGCCACCGCTCCTTCTCTAATGAGGCCGCGATGCCGAGTCCGCGGCTGATCAGATGGCGCTCCCGGAGCAGATCCGCCCACGTGGCATCCTCACAGCGCCCCGCTCAGAAGACCTGGGGGTCCACCCTCCAGTTACCTGAACAGGGGCTCCCCCTGAGCCTCAAGCCTCCTCAGGTTTGGAGACGCCTCTGCGCTAAGTCACTCCACACAGCACTCGTGGTGACACCTGTCACTCAAAAAGAACCCCACCTGCGCCTGGAATGTGTCACTAAACATGCAACATAATAGCTGTCTCTCCTCTACCCTCAGCCCCAGCCCAGCCCCAGCTCCTCCGCCACCCCCCTCCCCCGTGCTGGGCCATGTTGTCACTTCGCCAGCAGAGGCTGTTTGATCTGATTCCAGGGGAGGCCCTGAGCGTAGGCACCAGCAGCCAGCAGCTCCCTGCTCGGCCTGGAGGATGCGAAAGGGTCTCCTTTCTGATCAAACCCGCGCTGGTCCCACCGGAAAAGCACAGAAGCACATGGAAGCCCGAAGAGGCCTGGGTTGGCGTCAGGAGACAGGAGGGAGGAGATAAAGGGCGGCCCAGGGGTTCAGAAGGCAACCCTGCCCAGGCAGCCATGGCGAGGTGCTCCTCAAAACTACGGGATGGCGGGGGGCGGGGGGGGGGCAGAAAAGGAGCAGAGAACTGGAGGGAATGGGGTGGGGGGGGCGGGTTGGAAGGAGTGGCTGGAGGGGATGCCAGGGAGCTGTCCGGCCACAGGGACCCGAGGCCGCTTCCCAGCAGGACTGTAACTGAGACGCCCAGGGGATGAGGTGGGGGGACCACTGCCCCAGGTGGGGGTTAAGAGCAGAGACTATGCAGACAGTGGCCCCAAAGGGGCTCATGGAGGAGCCAGGGGCCTGACCAGTTGTGGCCCAGCATCCCATCCAGACAGGTCACTGCTCGGGTCCTGGCCGGACTCTGGCTGAGCCCCTGAAGACAGGAAAAGCCCCGCCCCCTCCAGGGACACACGCAGCGGCACAGAGGCCAGGGGGCTGGCAGCCGCAGGGGCCAGGGCGCACTTGAGCGATTCCTGTGTTAGACGGACAGTGAACAGGCACGTGAGTGTCCGCCTCCTCACTAGCATCGCGGAGGTCTTCCTCCTCGTTTCAGTGGATCCGTGACCCCAGGCGCCTGGCGACTTCCGTGGGATCTGCTACATCTCGAGGCCCCCCAGGGTCCATCGGCTCTTGGCCCCAGAGGCACCCATGTCACGTGTGTGATGGAGGAGAGCTGTTCCAGGCCCGGGCTGTTAGGACATGTAGGTTACACGCCTCCTGCTCCCCTCGGACCCAACATTCCTGAATCAGAGACCCAGCCGCTCCAGTGATCAGGAGAAGGACTGGGGGCCAGGAGCGGTGGTAAGTGAAATGGGGAAGGTGCTGGGCTGTGCGCACGCAGACCGGGTGGCAATTCTGTGGGCGACCGTCTGACCCCCGCAGTTTGCCCAGGCGCGGGGCCCCTGCCTCCTTCTCAGGGAAACAGGTCACAACACACGCAGGCCCGCAGGTTCCCGGGGCGAAGAGCTGGGGTGCGAGCGGGAGGGCAGGGCCAGTCACACCGGGGGGATCCGTGTGTCCCCTGCCACCAAAGCTGAGGGCACCGCAGCCTGTCCACTCCGCTGGAGTCCGTCCCTTCTCTCTCCGCCTGGTGCTGCTCCCAGGAGGCCACTCGCAGGCGCTGGGGACCCAGAGGCAGCGTCCACCACAGTCCTGCCCGTGGGAGCCGCTGCTGCCTGGACGGGCCCTGCTGCCTGGCGGCGTGCCCTTGCCGTGGGCGAGGCGAGGGGGTGGGTGTGGGGGCACATTCCAGCCTCTGTCCGCATCCCTGTCTCTACCCGCCCCCCCCCGCACCCTGGGGATGGGGGCGCTCTGGGTGCCACGCCGACAGGGCTTTCGGAGTGGGGAGGGGCTGGCAGCCCTCAGAGCTGCGGAGAAGAGCAGATGTGTTTCCAAAATAAATAATCGCTTTAAATCCTCCCTTTCCTCCAAACCAGGAAACAGCAGAGACAGCCTGGGAGGTCCGGGTGCTGCCGGGCGCCCTCACGGGGCCCCCCCGGGACTCTCGGGGTTCCGGGCTCACAGCTGCTGTGGGATGCCCTGCTCCTTGTAGCCTGCGAGGAAGAAGCAGAGGAGAGGGTGAGGCACCCACCTCCTTCAGGATTTCTCCTGGAGCCGCCCAGACGAGGATTTGCTCCTGAGACCTTAGTCACACGGCCCACAGGGTCCAACTGTCCCCAAGGGCGTTGGCTTTTTCATGGGAATCAAAGGGGTGAATGGAAACGGTGGAGCGTGGGGTTTACTGGGGACATGGGAGGAGGGACCTGTGTGTGTGTGGGGGGGAAGGGCAGGGCTGGGAGGTGATCCACACCCTGAGCCCACACCCCTGCACACAAGCGGCCCCCCCAGGCTGGCCTGGCGTGACTTCCCAATGCAGAGCCCGGGAGAAGGTGCCAGACAGGCTCCCCAAGTGATGGGCGCCTGGTACGTGTGGATGGAAGGAGGAAGGAAGACAGCCCACAGGAGGGAGTGCGCATGCGTGTCTTCAGCTGGACGTCGGGGGCACCGGCAAAGGTGACTGAGGGTTTGGAGCCTTTAGAACACTTGGTGATAATTATGAGGCCACAGGAAACACTGACCACATCGATATTAGAGATTTGCTGCTTGTTTATTTGGGTATAAAAGGGTACTGTGGTTGTGTTTTTTAAAAAAGGATACCTACTGAAATATTTAAGGATAAAATTGTGAGTCTTGAATTTTGAGTGGTTACCCCCTATTAGCTGGTGACTCGGCCCAAAGAGGACCTTCGGTGGACTTAACTTTTTTCCTCTTTATTTATCCATTTATTCATCTATTTGGGTGCTGAGAAGTCCAGGGCTGGGGGTGGGGCGATGCAGGGAGTAACTGATGAAACAAGAGCAGCCGTGAGCTGACAGTTGTTGGGCCTCAGGCACTCACTGGACTAGGCCTTTATGTTTGTTTATGTTTCAACATTTTCCAAAACAAAAAGCTAAAAATAGAAGCCAGTTGACCAATTGAAAGAGGGGACAAATGCGGCATTGGAGGGGGGGGGCAGGCAGCCCAGGCCCGAGGCTGGCACCCACCAACAGACTCACCTTGGGAAACTTGGAGAACACAGGATGTGAGGCAGCATGAGGAAGGAAAGGGAAAAAAAAAGAGAAAGGAGTCTGAAAACAGAGGGCAGAGGGGCTGCTGAAATACAAAACGGGGAGGATGCTCGAGGCCCGGGTGATGGAGCGGGGTGGGCTCACGGTGGCCAGTGGCCAGCCATGCCGCCCGCCGTGGCCCCATTAGGCTGTGGGCACTGCGAGGGCTCCCCTTCCCCAGGAGTCCTGCCCCGTGAGGCACTGCCAAGAAGCCCTCTCCAGGCCCCTCCTCCCTCCACAGCTCAGCCCCGCCCCCTCTGCTGCTCACCTCCTGCCCCTCACTCTCTTGTACCCCAACACGTGTCTGCCTGGAGGTGAATCTTGGATGGACCTGAGCAGGGTCAGCTGCAGAACAGGTCTGACCACAAGAATCCAAAGGCACTGAAGTGCCACGCCTGGCCCGGCTCGGCTGCGTCTGAGCCCTGTGGGTCGCCCTTGTATAAACAGGAGCCACACATAAAATCTAATGCTGGGCAAGACCCAGGCCCGGAAGGCAAGCAGATTTTATCTTGCAAACGTCTTGGATCAATTGGCAGTGACTGCCTGAAGCCCCCATCGTGAGATTGTTCAGCAGAAAGTGTAGCAATTGATTGGTAATGTCTGCCATGGGCAAGGCAGTAGAGAGAAGTGACTGTAAAATTACCAAGTAGTTACTGACCCATGACCAAGACAGGCTGTTGTTCCCTGTTATTTGCTTATTGTTAATATAGAGTAGAGTCCTAGCCGGCTTGGCTCAGTGAATAGAGCATTGATCTGCAGACTGAAAGGTCCCAGGTTCAATTCGATTCTGGTCAAGAGCACATGCCTGGGTTGCAGGCTCGATCCCCAGTGTGGGGCGTGCAGGAGGCAGCCAATAAATGATTCTCTCTCATCATTGATGTTTCTATCTCTCTCTACTTCTCCCTTCCTCTCTGAAATCAATAATATAAAATCTACACTAATAAAAGAGAAACATGGTAATTGGCGTACGACCGCTACCCTTCCCATTGGCTAATCAGCGTATCCTTATGCAAATTAACTGTCAGCCAAGATGGC